TCTTGCCTTCTTGTCAGGGGTTAAGACGATCGCCATGTTATCGTTGATGGATAATTGTACCAGTACAATTGGTTGTGATTGCCTTGAGTGGCAAGATCAACAGGGTCAAGCCTGGGCCCAAAATACTTCCGAACAGGTTATGGACCGAAGGGCGCTTTTCCGTCCCGGTGGCTCCCCGTGCATGTTGGCAAGCGCCGGCCCCTGGGATCCTGGATAGTTCAATCACCTGCCACCCATCGAAGGCCAAGGATGCGGCAGCTGACTCGACAGCTTCGCCTGAGTGCTTTTTTCGCACACGCATCTCGGCCAATGCCATGCTAGGCGACGTGCCGTAACGCACAACCACAGCGTCGACGCGGGAGGCGGGAGACGAGCTACCTGCCTACAGAGTGAAGTTACCCCGACCGGGAGGCCCCTGGTTAGCAGCATAGCTCGCGCGTGGCGTCAACGCTCAGTCTGCCTTCATCCACATCTCTGGCAAGTTGGAGAAAACACTGGTAACACTTGAGATGAGTCGTTGTGTTGTGGAACATCTTCCATATGACGACTATGGATGACGCCAAGCCAACTTGCCCGCCAGTGCCCTTTGGAAAATCACCCGTTGTTGACTCGAGCACCCTCGGGCCTCGGTGCAGTCTTGGAGTCATGGCGTTAGCATTTTTGGCCAACACTCATGCGTTATACGAGCATCGTGCGATACAAAATAGGGGCAGCCTGCCGGAGAATTCTTCTCTTCCGTATCCGTAAGCAGGGGACATCTGGAGACTCGGATCGTCACGGGTACGGATACTTTTGAGGCGATCAGACGCCTTGAATCTCACTATAGGGGTCCGAGCTTCTTTCAGGCGCACGGAATGCGATCGTCAACCCAGAAGGCAGCGGTTCCAGCACGCTGGGATCCCTTCCTAGCATCGTTGGTACTAATGTTCCGTCAGATTTTCCCGCACCCCGACTGCGTATTGAGAACTACATCTCGCTTGCGCATACATGTAGCACTGGTACCGTTGCATTATATCGTTCATCGGCCAAGCCCATAAGGACAGGCAGGCTCAGATCGCTTAATGGGTCAACTAAGGACGCAGCTGGGATCTAACAATAGTGGTCGCCATGAAAGTGGTCCGTCATCCCGTTCCCGTGAGCAGGGGCCAAGGGTCTCGAAGCACAACGCTGCCAGACTGGATGAGACGAAAATGGATGCGACAAAGTTCGGACGAAAAGATGGGACAATGAGCCGATCGTTCATGCTTGCTTCTGTTGCGGCGCCCTCGATCCCAAGGCAATATATGATCAACCCCTGTCAATACCACACCTACCAGGGTTACCAGGGGTTGGGCCCTTGGCCCTTGTCGTGGACTTTGGGGGTTGGTCATCTCCCTCTTGGCTCGTGCCCCAAGTTCATCAAGCACCAAGCACGGGAGAGAGACATGTGCTTGATCTTGATTCTGATGGCACCCCGCCACCCCAGCATGGCCGCCCATTACCATATACGCCGGTGTCAACGTGGCGCTAGCTGCCGGGACGCCAAATCTTGGTGAACTTGAGTGCCCCAATGTGCACCACATGACAACGGTCACGAGGTTACTGGCGCAATCTGGGAGTATGGTCGACGAGACAACGAGGGAGGAATCTTTGGCAACCGAATGACGAAAGAATCAACGACTCAAGGCTTCCACGCACGCGCACCTATTTTCCTTCTTGTTCTTGGTTGGGAACCTCGGTCATGGACAGCAAGTATGGACTACGTATGCACTCATCGGATAGAACGTGGAGCGCGGCCAGGGTGCGCGCCCCACCGCTCAGCTCAAAATACCACCGCCAGCCGGCTGGTCTTCGTGGTGTTCTCAAGCTGGTCGTTCGGAGATATTAGCCTGCTCACAAATTTGGCTTTTAAGATTATCATCCTGCGGGTCCTAATTTGTATAGGAAGTCAAAGACTCAACGGGAGGTTCTAGTGGGTGTATGTCAGATTAGACAATATCCGATCTACCTAAAGACATCCCTCTA